TACAATTCAAAAGTTTGAGCCCACCCTGGTAATTTTTTAAATCGTCTCAAAAAATAGTTGTTTTGTACTTTAAATAAAGGAAAATTATTATACATGGTTAAAAAAAAAGAAAGCGAGACATGATTATTTTTATTAGAAATTTTATTATGACAAAAAGAAAAAAAGCATTTTATGATTAAATTTTGCTCTTGTCAAAACATCCTCCTTTAGCCTTGATTACTGCAGCACAAAATTTTGGCAAGCATTGCAAAAGTTTCTCAAAGTATAAGTTTGATTCCATTTTTATTTTTTTCACTCTTCTGCCAAGTTCATCCCATGCTAATTCTGGGGATGGCTTTAAACTTTTGAACTGTAATGTATATATATATATATATATATATATATATATATATATATATATATATATATATATATATATATATGTGTGTATGTATTTATATATTTATTACGGTTATGACTATTTGTAAAATAATTGATTTCCTGTATCATAATTCAATGAACTTTTCTTAAAAAATAATAAAGAAAGTTTTAATTCAGCTTATTTTTGAAAAAATGTCTAAATCAAACACACAATTTCTAAAATCGTATATAAGTACATGGCAAGGACACATGGCACAGTGGATAAAGGCGTTGGTTAGATTCAGTGAAAGGACCCAAAGAGTGTGAGTTCAATACCCTGTTAAGGCAGTGGAGAACTTGGAGACGGGAATTAACAGGAGATAACTGATAACTGATATCCATTAAACATGGCATGTGGAACTAGAACAGTCTACCCAAGTGAGCGAAATAAAGGGTTCAGTTTGACATTCCATGCCGGAGCATACAATGGCTGAAATGTTGTAATAAATACGGCAACAAAGAGGAGGACAATAGTCTGAATAATGTAAATAGTGTATATAACTTTTCTCTCTTTCTTTTTCTTTTTATGCTATGTCCATTTAGGAAATTGGCAATCATGGCTTGCCACGGTTTCCTTTTTCTTTACCTATGAATTGCTTCGACTTCTCAGGAAAGATAATGGAGATATTTCCCATTACCTTCTCCACAGTTCAGAGTTGTTTGTCACCTGAGGCTAGAGAGCTATTTAACTTACAGCAAAGAAGAAAAGATAGGTTCATGCCTTTCTTAAGGGTATTTATATGAAAGTGAATGCAACAGGCTATGCTAGAATTTGAACTCTGCTTGATGATACCATTTAGTGTAACGGTTATCAAAGCACTGTATTTATTCTCTAACATTTTTGGTAAGCACTTTTATATAAACAACAATAAAAGATTTTAGAAATATGATAATGAAGTCATTTCCCAATTCTTTCTTCAATGGTTTTGCATTTAGAGTATCATTTTCTAAATATATGATGGATTTTCTTATTTATTAATCCAACAGATTTTATTAATTATTATTTTTAGTGGATACTCATATTTGAGTAAATGCTTCGTTTATTTATTAAACAGTATATTTATTTTTGTCTACTGGCCTTGAATATTTGAGAAATCCTATTAAAGAAAAATATGTACTCTCCAGCAGAATTTGAACCTGCATCCTCCTTGCCAAGGGAAACTGTCATTAGATCCGATGTTCTTTAAGATCATCTTGGCCACAGTGTGTGTCAACCAAGCAAAATTAAATTATGCTTTATAAATGCAAATCTTTCTCAGACTCTCAAAACATTCATATTGACTCAGTTTCGTATTATGCCCTGTCGGCGGGGCTTCAGAATACGCCGACTGCACCTCTGCAGGGGGTAAAAGTCCCCCAAGGGGGCCACCTGTTTGCCGTGGGTGGCGACCCGTGATGTTTGGGGATTGGGACCTGGTGGCTGAGCAGGTCATGACCCAGGTGATAAGTGGTCATTAACTGCAACACTCCACTTTGGCCTCACCTGAGCTAGACGGGCGGTCGGAGAGGCCCACTCCGATCAATCGGCTGGTCATGACAAGCCCTAACACTCAACCCCCCCCCCAAAAAAAAAAACTTGTGTATTAGTATAATTGCCAATTTATCCTCCAAAAAAAAAAAAAAATGACATTTATTAAAAAAAAAAAAAAAAAATATATATATATATATATATATAATAATAAACTCCCCACATGAGTGTTGGAAGGCGGTGGCTAAGGGTCAATCGATTCTGAGGAAGAAGGCCACAACATGGCTGTATACACCCGAGAGGCATCACTGGACTTGGCCAGCGAAGCCAAAGGAATGCAGGTGCTTGTGGCTTCCACTGGATACGAGTATACCTTTCCTGTAGCCCTGATGTGCCAGGGGCGAATGGGTTTCCCCCTGGCATCTCCCATAAAATTGGACTCGAGGTGGGTGGGGAGCAGGAATGGCGAAACAACATCTAAAAAACAAATGTTTCCAAAGAAATCCACCAAGAGACCACATTTTGAAAGCTCTGACAGTGAGCCAGAAATAATATATCAAAACACCCCTACATATATGGTAATCCAATCAACTGAAGATATACCTATAACTAAAATATCACCTTTCAAAATCGAACAAATACTTTCTAAAAAATAAAACCAAAAACAACAAAAAAATTAACAAACGGAACAATTCTAATCAATTTCAAAAACACAAGTGGAAGAAATCCTAAGATGGGAAACTTTCAACAACATCAAAATTAAAACCTCCCTCCACTAAACCTTAAATTCATCCAAAGGCGTAGTGAAAAGCTCTGAATTATCACTATGCACATTAGACGAAATAAAAACAAATTTAAAAACCAAAATGTAATAGATATCAAAAGAATAAGTATAAAAAAAAAATGGAGAAACTATAAACACAAACACATACATATTAAATTTTAATATCCCAAAACCCCCCTAATGAAATTAATGTAGGGTACATAAAAATAAAAGTTGAGACATATATACCGAATCCACTTAGATGTTTCAACTGTCAGAAGTTTGACACCACCAAGATAGGTGTACTAGACCCCAGTATCTCGGAAGATGCGGTGAAAATAACGCAAGACACACTGACTGTCAGAAGGAGGCAAAATGCACTAACTGCAAAAAAATCACCCAAGAAATTCCAGAGATTAGTAGAATCTGGAAAAAAAAAAAAAGATATTTCCAAAATAAAATATACTCAAAATATTACTTTCCCAGAAGCAAGGAAATTAATAAACACTGTGACATACACAGAAATATCAAAAAGACATATACCAAACCCAAACCAACAAGGACACCAAACATACGAAAATAATCAACCTATAACAAAACCTGAAGTAGTTACTCAACTTATGAACGAGATGAGAACTCTAATCCAAGAAATGAAAACCATTATAAAAACAATCACAGAAAACAAACAACTCTCCAAGGAAAACTCAAACACCAAAACATCAACAAACCAAAAGACACAAGCAAAGCCTAACAAGGAGAACCCAAAAGTACTCTCTTCTGAAGTGGCCTCTACCACTAGGCCATCACAGACTTCACCCAATAGGGAAACTATAAAAAAAAAAAACCCTGATGGGCAGGAGCATAAAAATAGATCAAGATCAACCTCAAGAACAAGAACTGCCCCAAAAATAAATAAATTTGAGGCATTGGAAATAATGGAAACGGAAGATGAGACCCCACAACTAAGCAAAACCCAATCAAGGAAAAAATCTAACCTCAAAACAAATCCTGCCAAAAAAATTAAAACATGGCTCCACAAGTAATCAAACATCAAAATATCCATAAGATAATCCAAGGAACTGCCGTAGCCACAAATTAAAATATAATGAGCTACCACTATTAATAGCTAAACAAAATCCTAACATCAGACACATTCAAGAACCACCCCCCCAAAAAAAAAAAAAAAAAAACATGGGAAAAAAAAAAAAAAAACATACTACTATACCGAACCATGACTAATAAAATCATCCAATGGAACATAAGAGGTATGAAACCAAACATAAATGAACTACTGCTTTTAATTGGGAACCTATGTCCAATGATAATGTTTACAGGAGACTTTTCTGAAAGAGAATGACAATGTAAAAATTCGTAATTTTACCTCAGATAACTATATAAATAATAATACAGATAGAGCCTCAGGCGGCACATCCATACTAATTAGTGAAACACATTCTCATTGAATGTACTGACCTAGCCCATATAAGAGAAACGCTTTATAGTGCAAGTAACATGAAGGAACTGTTCCAAAAAAACTGACATGGATAACATAATATCGTTCCTGAAAGCAGTCAATTTGTACCAAAAAATCTAAAAACATAAAAAAAGTTGGGAGTTTTCTGCAAACTTTTGCTGCAAGGAATGTTTTCAACAAAATCTGATTCTTTCTGCATACCATTTCTCAAAAAAAAAGGAAGAAACTTCCCTACGATACAATTCTCTACAAAAATTTTTTTTGACAGAACCAGATTTTTCTACAAACCATTTCATTTCTAAAAACCCTTTTCAGCATGGCAAACCTCTCCGTTTGTGGAAATGGAAGGGACTATTATATTGGAAAATAATACTCCAATAATAACCTGATTTGACATTAAATGACTGAGGAGGTCGATATGTCGTAAAACACAAACAAACAAACAAACAAATCAGTTTCGTATTCTAACATAAACAAATTAATTTCTAAATAAGTGATGGTGGTTGCCACTCAAAGCTAGGGTATTCAGTCTACCCTGTTATTTAACCTACTGCTGAAGATAAAAGTAATAGATTTGTATCTTTTTCAAGGGTATCTGTGCAAAAGCAAATGCAATAGACTAGACAGAAATTTGAACTTGGCATGCTGCTTCCACTTTTTGCCCTAATAACCATTATACTATCTTTGCTTACTTTCTAGCATTTTAAATATGAATGTTTTATATAAACAAATTCTAATAATTTCAGCTTCTTTAAAACCACTGCTAGAATATATTACATCAACATCATTAATTGAATTATGCTTTCATCTGACATCAGAGTATGAACCTTGGTTTTAAAGACTTAATTTGATGATAGTTTTTACAATGTCTTTTCCTTTATTTTTCAGATATTGTTATGACCCCCACCAAAAAGGGTGAAGCAACACACATCAAGATAGAACGAAGGAGAAGATTAGCCTTCGATGATTCGGATGTGGCTCATGTTGCTGGGGGACAGCACAAGGGATTGGTCATTAATAAGCAAACAGCAGGTTTGTTTTGTCTTTATTTATTTTTGATTTGACTCTATTTCCAAAATAAACTTAAAGAACTTTCTTGACTATGACTTGGAGATGTTTTAACATTAACCTTGTGGAGATCTTAAAATATGACTCCAGCTTTAAAATATTTATACTGAAAATTGAGACATATATTATGATTCACAAAAGATAATCTAAATTAAATTTAATGTCAATGAAGAACCTTTTTGAGAGAGGTTGATCTGCCATGTATTTGACACATTCCAGATGATAGCAAGACAGACTGCACTGTGTTACACTAGACCATCAGAGAAACCAGCTGCATTGGTGGGTTGTCTTGAAAGATGACTTCATAGCCACCATATGTAGATTCATACCTCACAAAATGTCAGTGGCTGTTGCCAATATGTAAACAAGTTATGGTGTGCACACATGGTACAATCACTGAGAGAAATTTATCTAAGCACCCAGCCAAGAGGGAAAAAGCGGGGAGTCTTTAACTTACTCATGAGAAGAAAAAACATATATAGGGAAAATCCCAAAGGTGCACAACTGCTTACAGATATTAATTAATGAAGCCTGGAGTTGAATAAACAATAATTTTACATATTATAGATTTAGTCTTGTGTTCTTATTACTTCTAAATCAGATGAGATGATTTTCACAGCCATATTTATTTTTTAATCATTTAACCCAAGCAAGGTGATAAAGCCACTAAAATGCATAGGGTTATTTAGTGTGAAAGAATTTGAGAAAAATAAACATTATTAAGTAGAGAGGACAATAAAGGAATGGGTATTAAGAAGACAGAAAATGATGACACTGTATTTAAATTTTTGAAGATCAAAGTTGATTAGAAAGCAAAAAGCTGGAAGAGAGTTCCACAAGTGAAAAGTATGATAGGAGAAACTGTTAGTATAGAAAAATGTGAGAAGAAACAGCTTTGAACTTCTAGTTGAATCTGGCAATTTCAACTGTAAAATGATGAGACTTAGCTGCCAAATAGCCTAGTTTGTACAACAATTACATTACTTATATATTTACTCTCTGCCTTGATATTTTTCTTGGAATATTGTATGAAACACTTTATTCAATTTATTGAGGTAAATTATTCTTATTCAGCTGTCTATGTTAGGGAATATATTGTATTATGCTTCTGATACTGACTTCATTTCTAAACCATAAGTTAAAAAGATAAATGAACCAGCATAGAAATTAAAGTGAGGGAGAGCAATACCACTTCCTCCCATGGACTGAATTAAGGTTTTGGTTAGAAATTTACAGAAAGTTATCAAATGTGATGGACACCCAAAGAAGACTGCAATAGTCAAAATGATGTATAACAAAATGAAGATAAGTTTCAATAAATCAGTGTATGATAATTCCTCAGGCAAATTCACAAATATTATAAACTTTGTTAGATCTGGATTCAGTTCATATACTTTGATCTGTTAATAATATTGTGGTCATAGAGCCATCTTACAGAGCTACTTTTCTAAATCATTACAACTGTATTGAGTTTGATCTTTGATGTAATGAAATAACCTGTCACCTCCATGAGTGACTACACTATAAGTAGTGACTACCTATAAGTATCTGTAAGTCAACGGACTACAGAGTCTATCTGGGATCTGTTGAGTACGACTTGGACTTATGTGAGAACTACTGACCTTCTAATAGTAGCACTCACTACTGGATTGACTTGCGACGACGTTGTGCATAACTGTTACCTTTATTCTTATTGTATTGGGTTTTACAAAAAACCTTTACTTATTTCATCCACCATGTTTTTAAGTATATATTCCTATTAGCACAGAATATAACAATCTTTAACCTTCCCCATACTATTTTTATACTCATACCAACTGAGCTTGGAAAGTTTCTCTAAAAGGCTAACAAATGATTTTAAACTAGTTTTCCCTATACTAGGAAAACTGATGTCAATATTGAAGTAACTCTCTCATTGTATTGGTTATATTTTCTGTATGAATAATCTAATAATTTAATCTATAGAATAATTGGCCATGGTTAAATTTAATTGACAGAAATGCCCAACAAACAGAATTGCAATAAACAATAACAAGAGAAGGAAAAGAACAGGGCAAAAATAAAATTGAGCAAACAATATTTGCAAGGCAAAGCAACAGTAATGAAGCAAAAAGTTCACAAATTAAGAATGGTGTTAATGCACAAAAGGGATACAGACAAGTGATTACAATGTTCTGACTTCAAAACAAGAAAGAACAGAAATATATCGGATGAGCCTGAAAAGTGGCCTATCTTATTGGTTAGGAAGACATCCCAGCATACCTCTGTATGTTTTGACTATAAATTTGTGGGGAGGATGTTTTTGTAGTCATTCCTAACAGGATTGGAACCAACAAATCTGCATAAATAACTTTGTCAATGTTATAATAAATGCTTTGTTAGATCTGGAATTGGTTCATATTTTTTGATCTGTTAATAACATCTGAATCCTAAAGTCATCTTGTGAAACATTTGTTAGAAAACTATTTTTCTAAATCATTACAACTGTAGTGAGTTTAATCCATAACAGCCACATCCATATTTGCCAAGATTAGTTTAATCTTTTATGAGTCTAAAAAACTCATAAAAGATTAAACTAATCTTGGCAAATATCAATAAGAACTGCTTTTGTCATACACAAATCCTCAAGAGGTTATCATGAAATGCTCAAATATAGCTGACTTCATGAAAAGCATGTTTTCATTTTGTGGATTTAATATCTTTAATGCAGTATCAAACAAAATGATAAATATTTTTTCTAAGAAACCTGATTTAATATTAAATATATTCTAACTCTTCTATTTGTATCTGTTTTTATCTCTCAGAAAAAAAATATGCTTGACATTTAACGAAATACATAAATCTAATCCACAATGTCAAAGAAGCTTTCCATGAAGTATGATATATTCAAACACAGTGTATGACCCAGATTTTATTACTAATTAATATACGTTTGCCATTTATAAAGGAACAGGATGGTGAAGTCGGTGGAAGGCTTAATGTACTGACATCACAGCCATTTTGTTTTTGAATTCTTTTTATTATTATAATGGACGTTTCTCTAAAAAGCTAACAAATGATTTTAAACTAGTTTTCTCCATACTAGGAAAACTGATGGCAGTATTGAAGGAACTTTGCATTGGTTATATTTTCTGTATGAATAAACTAATATTTTTATTTACACAATTAACTTTGTCATATATAAGAAAGGATTCTGCTTTTAAATGATTATAAGTAAAATATTGAAAGAAAGCTAAAAACCCAAATCAATATATTAGCAGTCTGAGCTTCCTTAATTTATTAATGAGAAATTACTTTATTGTAACACAAGATGTGTTTGCTTTTTGACATGAATACCTCATGAATCTCATTAGAGAATAGGGGATGATAAGGCTGAGACATATAAAATCTCGTATTTTTTTTCTAGAGTATAAGTTAACTTAAGAATTTATATTTTTGAATTCTGCTGGAAGTTATATTGCATTATTTTTTCAATTAAAAAAAAAAAAAATCCGATAAAAATTGTTTCCTAAAATTTTTCTGACTTGAAGATTGGTAGGTAGATAATAAAGTTGGTTTGAAATGGGTTCATACCCAGATACACATCTTGTATTTTAATGTCACTGTACATAAGCTTATACTATGGAATACAGATTATTGGAAAAGATCAAGTGGTAGACCAGCAAGAATCTTTATTGATCAACATATAGATGTTACTGGAATTGGAAAGGAAGAAATGGGTAGAGCTATGAATGGTTCGCTCATTGTCTGGTTTACACTCCACCCTGATCTTTTGATCAGGAGTAGAGATTTATTCCTTGTTTCTGTTTAGGATTGGGATTCTGGTTCCTTCTAAATTCTTATTCTCTTTCACTCAAAATAGATCCTTGTGTCTTTGTGGCATTATCTCTTCGCTTGGGATGTATTGATATAAAAAAAAAAAAGAAGTGGTCATTTTAGGACAATCCAATAGATCTTGCCTGAGATTCACATTTAAGTTCAGCTGCTTTGATTTTACAAATATTTACTAAGCTTTACTTATTCTGATACAAAGTCACAATCTGCTTGTTTCTAATTGGTATAGTAATTGTGAGTTCAATCCCTGGAACAACTAGTACAGATTCAAGCTCAGAGTAAGCAGGACTAACTGGATAGTACTAAAAAGAACAAGATGGGGACAATGAATTCCAATAGGACTTAGCCTGAGATTCTCTGATGGTTACATATATAGCTCAGTAGCTATAAACATGTGATAATATCAACAAAGATCATCAGCCCAAGTCTGAATAATGTAAATAATTGCAATCATTAGCAATTACAATACCATAATGTAAATGCAACTGATGAAATATTTTTCTTATAGACATTACATACATATATATATATATAGTGATCATTGAAGTCAACACTTAAAGGCGACAGGCTGTTTCATGCTAGATGCAATTGTCAGGTGACTGTTTCATGCTAGACGCAATCGTCAGGCCACCTGATGATTGCATCTAGCATGAAACAGCCTGTTGCCTCTAAGTGTTGACTTCCATATTCACTTTTATATTTACACATGCTCTATCTCTGATATTGAACGCTTTATCCCATAAATATAGCACACCTTAAGACTATATTTCTTCATATATATATATATATATATATAAAACACATGATGCCTAAGGTTTAAAATTAATTTAAAAAAATGAAAAGTCTTTCTTGAAGATTTTATTTTAGTTTTAATTTCAAGCTAATAGATTAAATTTAATATTTCCAATAAGTAAAATACTTTGCTGTATTTTGAAAACTAATTTAAATTATTTTAAAAACATTGGTGTTTGATGATTTGTATTAAGCTTTTTCCATGTATGATTAGTAAATGTAGTTTTCACTTAATAATTTCATCAAAACCACTGAAAGTAATACAGAATTTTAAAAAATTTAAAATTTAATAAATTTTTCTAATTAAAATTTTAAAAAATGAAAACAATTCCTGTAAA